TCTGCCAAAGACACTATATACATAAAATACTGAAAATGGAGCAGGTCTGTAACTAGTATCAAAGTTTCTTTGGTTCAAAAACACACAGAACGCTAGCAATGTGCTTTAAATTAAGTACACGTTTCAAAGGTTAACAGGACTATTCCTTAGGCAGAAGAACAAAGAGGAGCTGGTTAAAGAAAATTTGGTACACTACAGCTACTTAAAATACTGTATCCAGGCACAACTCATTTGGATGCCTTTGAGCTCAAAGCCAATTTGAAATACACAGAGGTGCTTTAAAGAACAAAAATACTAACCTGTGTTTTATCTAAGCTCTTTTAGCTGAATCGAGCTACTAATTAAAAATCTTCACTACTCTTCCTAATTTCTGATTTATTTTTTTAACAGAGTAATAGAGCCATCTAAAAGCTCAGTCCTTCCTCACAGAAGAGTGCTACCATTAGCATCTCTGAAATGCCTTGTCATCTAATGGTTTTGCTAATAACATGTCTGTCATCTGCCTTGACTGTATCTCTCGTAGCCAATCTAAAAATATTGTGCAGTAGGACTTCCGAATGCAATACTGATGCATATGCCAATGCTCCTCTCAGTGTCAATACTACAAGAGTTTACAATCCAGGCAATGCTTAAATGTAACAATATCTCTCAAATAACACATTAAACAGATGTGTACCTGGTATTATAAATATGTGACATAAAAATCTATTGGGTTGGTCAGTATGCATATTAAAAACCATTCAAGTAGGTCAAATTGTGGATAACTTAAAACTTTAAAGACAGCAATTTCAATAAAACTGTCAATACAATTTTCTTTGTAAAAACATTTGAGACTGATTATGCTGCTTATATTGAAAGAGAAACACAAGGTCTATATCTTTAGATCTTTTATTGAACTGTGAGCACAGCATCAATAACTGCTTCTCAGCTGTAAATGAAAATTGATTCCAGATCTAACCCGTCGTTTTCTGTGTGTCTTTAATCCCAAATCACCCGCAATAAGACATAAGAATCAGCATTTTGTCTATGGGACAAAGCGTGTGTCATATGGCCAGCTCCAAAGTATCTACACTGAAGATACTGTGGGGTGTGTTTACACGTGTTAGATATAGGCGATAACTGCGGTCTCTCCAAGCGAGGCCCAAAAAGTGATGACGGGAGTTTGCAGCTGGAGTGGAGTGCCTTGTAACTTGCCTCATGCTCTACTGCAAAGGTCAATACGGTCCAAAGCTTTACAGATCTGAAGTCTGAAGGGACCTGCAATGAAGATCTCGTTGGACCTCCTGCACATCACAGACCAAAGAAATTCACTTGATAACTTCTACATCAAACCCACAACTGCCAGGAGTCTAAAAGGAGAGGGAAACCACAAGGTTTTCATTGAATTTGCAGCAGTTTGGCACTAGTAGTTTGGATTTCCAGTCAGCTCTCACTTGCTGAAGCCTCTTAAGCCCTCTGGGGTGAAATTAAAGTGTATAGCCTCCTTTCAGGAATCCTTTTCTTGGTGACAGGTTGCTAGGCCATCATCATGCGTGCCTTAATTCTTTTTGGCTGAACCAAAAAAGACCTAACACTTACATTAAGGATGGTTCTCCAGATCATGTTTATAACTCTTAAAAACAATTCCCAGTTATTCAAAATCCTGTTTGAAAAGTGAATGCCAAAAGTGGGCAGCACATTCAGTAACAGCCCTGCTAATCCCATCTATAGAATAAATACCTTCCACTGACTTCAACCTGGTAGTTCTCATCGTATCCAGAAATCAGGCTCAACTTCTTAATTATATGACTGACCGGAGCTATCATGTGTGTTGGTTTTCTTCTCAGCAGTGAGGAGAAAAGGAAGGAGATGTTTAACACCTGAAAGAGCATGAGGTCCCCAGACCCCTAAGTAAATGCAATACAGATCAGAAAAAAGTGTGCTCGTTCATAGGAGTGAGAGAATAAGACAGAAGAGCTTTGTTTCTTGCAAACAACCTTCTAACAATCTTCCACCATGACAAATGGACTACTGGTAGTCTCAGAAGACAGGCTGATAGATCAAACTCTCTCTCCACATACCACAGACGTTCACTAAAAGTCGGGATGAAGGTGCATTTATGGATCAGTGTCACCACCACCTCTGCCATGTAAAGATTGAAGGGTGCCTAGCAATTTTCAAAGGACAAATCCTAGGGCTCCCTACCGACGACTGTTCTCAAAGAATTTCAATTTCCTTGAAATACGAGTAGAGATAAAGATAACAAACTTGATTTTTACACACTGTGTTTTTGTTAATAAAAATGAGTAAATGCCAGCTCACACTTCACATTGGCTGCAAGTCTACAGCAAAAAAAAAATCAGAAAGATTGTAAAGAAAATGATTCCATTTCCTTACAGAAATGTTGCTTAAACTGTTAGAATGGTTTTGAGCTGAGAGCTTTACTCTTTTCTCTCCCTGTCAGAATGTGCACGTGTGTACAGCTGAATTACGATGGTCATTTGACTACAAAATCTTTATGTTAAAAAAAACCCAAAAAAGTATTTTTCTAACCTTGGGCTCCACAGCTGAACATTCAACATTGTAAAATTCACATACTGTAATTGCCTTGATCTGTCCTTCATGAATGAATATTTTATATGCTTTTTGGAAAAAAATATTTTGCAGTGAAAAACCATTGCAGTTACTTTGTTGATGTTTATGCGTCTGACCAGTGGGCCAGATCAACCTTTCTTTCCATCTCCAGTCCTCTCTCTTTAAAGAGATACGGCAGAAGCTGCTAAAGCGTGAAGGCACCGGTAATGCGCGAGTGATGCAGCACAGCCATGCTGCTCAGCTTTGCAAGGCCTTAGTCTGGAATGCAGCATGTGACAAAAATCTAAAGGACGGACACATATGGTAATTCATTCAGGAAACCTAAAAAGCTGCGGGATTCTTTCCTATAAGGTGTGTAATTTTGTCTAAACCTTCTATTTGTAATACAAATAAAAGATGCAACCATGCATACATGGGGTACATAGGAAAGGTGAAGGTTTCCCTTGAAGTGCAGGGCATTTAAGAAATATGCTCAGTGTGCTTCCTCTCCAGACAGTTCATTTATGTTTTGCGTGACTGGAAGGGTTCATGTTTGCAATCCCTAAATATTCAGACCATAATCTGTTTCTTAAGAAGTTATTTGGGAGAGCTTAGGATATTTGAATCAATTCTAATCACTTAGAGTGAGATGAAGCTCACGCTGCCAAAAGGAAAAACATTTTCTATGTACTATAAAATTTTGAGAAACTACATGAACGGTCCTTATTGTGCTCTCTTGTCTCTCCGCAGCTTACGCTGTGAATGGTATTCCTGGGAAGTCACATGGAGTTTCGGTGCAGTCTGAGGCTTCCTACAGCTCGGGCACATCACCACCACACAAAGACTCAGGCGGCAGCCCCTGAAGTGGGAGCAGTGTGACATGGTTCACGAGCATGACGCTGCTTTTGGGTAAGAGCCACGCATGTACCACATGGCAGCAATGATGTTTTGAGAACTATCAATACTCCACTGTGGAGCGTAGACATAACCATGTCTTTCCTGCTTGGGATTAACAAGAGAGATGATACCTATTCAAGTCAGCAAGGGCTTTTCGTTTAATGTCAGCAAATGCTGGTCCAGGCATTTGCTTCTTCATTCAGCAATGATACATGATTTCATCTTAGCAGTGTAAATTGTGTAAATTTGGAATAATTCTACTTAAGTCACTAGAAAACTACTACTGTAGGAAAACAAAAGTAACTCCTACCTGATAATATATTTCCATTTCTATATTCTGGGCATCTCAGTATCACAACATCATTTTACAGGACTATTTGGGCAAGGTTCCAACAGATCAGGAAACCTGTTGGTTTCATAAGCCACTGTGTTTGTACAACAGTGCATTGCACAAGTACAGGCTTTTGATCCTTTGGCTTCAGATGAGAGCGCAAGTCTATCTTGGTGCTAAAAAATACTGACTTGTATGACTACGGGGTCAACAGACACCAGAAGTTAAATCTTTCCTGGCGTGACCCTAAAGGATGGATTAGATAGGTTGAAGGAGAACATTTAGGTGGTTTAAAAATAAATAAGAAAGAAAGATTGACCTATAATTAAGATTTCCCAGGCTGAACAGATGATCTTATGCTGAATTATAGCATTACCTTCCTCTCTATTACAGATGTTTACACATTTGAACCTATTGCATATATAAAGTAACTTGAAGGATGAATTTAAGCTGGTCTCTTTTTTTTTCTGATAAGATTGTAGAGAATATGAATTTCACCAGCTTTATTTCCCAGCATTATCCACAAATATTTATAAAGTGGGAAGGATAGAGAATGACATGAGCCAGTTTTCTGAAAATGATTCTTCATCAATGTCCCAAGCAGGCTGAGAGACTTTCAGTACTGATTTACAGCTACCCACTGAGGATTTTCCCTCTCACAAAAGGGACTCACTGGGTTACTCACTATGGACTCCCAGCCCTTTACTCACTGACTGGAACAAAACTTAGTGACCCAATCTTCTCGGGTGCAATTGTACAAATGAAATGCAAAGTGCAAACCAACTCTGCAGTTGTGATAGTGGTCTGATGTTGTCATTTTCCATCCACTTCCAAAAAGGTCAGAAAATGATTGCAAAACAAGTGGAGGCTGTTCCACAGTTAGTCTGGTACAATGGAGGACAGAAACTCAGAGCACATCAGCTATTCCTGGGTGATGCCATGTGCGGTCTCTTGTTCCAAGGCTAGTAAGTCATGTTTTGGTTTAGTTTAATCCACTTCACAAAGTTAATTCAGCAAAACTGACAAAACGCATTCTTATTTAAGAAAAAGTTTCCTCCCACAGAGGTTCTATGCACAAGCAAGATTTAAGCTAATGGATTCTGCAGCATCCCAAAATGGTTTTGATGCAAATATAGTAAACCAACAAGCAATCACATTCAACCAATGAAACAACTTTTTCAGATTATATGGTCTATGCACTTATATCAGATGTATTTACCTGTTCACTGTCGTCTTCATCACTGCTGAGTTTCAGATCATCCTCAAGCATTCTGAAAAAAAAGAGAGACAATACAGAATTACTTTTAATGAATTAACTTTATACAATGGGCTGAATCTACCCTTCAGCAAAGTCAGAGGAAAAACTCCGTTTCAATTCAACAACAGCAAAATCAGATCTGTGATAAGTAAACTGATGAATACTCCATGTATGTATGTATTAGTCCTTCTGTGTGATGCTAGGTAAGAACGAATGACTTTCAGACTCATCCACCATAAAGTTTGGCAGTCAGCTCCTCTTCCATGTCCTCTTTTATTTGCACATCGTCTCATGGTGATTAGTCCATATACACCTATGTGTATTTCTACATCAGAAGGTGCGAGGGAAATTCAGCTCTGAAACTGTTAAAAACTGAGAAAAAGTCCTCTATGTTTCATTCTTGATCTAGGGCATCACTGATCTTCTCTGAGGCCGGTACCAATCCCCACCTTATCAAACTGAGAATGCAAAGTGGAGAATAGCAAGAAGAGGAGGAGCTTGTTTGAGGTTTGATGGGACCTCACAGCTGTTAGTATCTAAAGGCATTTTCCAAGCTAGGAATCTGCTAATTCATATCCCCATTTTTATTTTTTTTTTTAAATACAGGGAAATCTCACATCACTGCTCCCTGCCCTTGGTTAAAGGGGAAGGAAACTCCTAAAAGATGTGGCTGTCCCAATGCCTCCTTCCTTTCCTTTGGCAGAAGAAAGAGTTGAGTAATGCATATTACTATATTAAGACTCATATTACTTCTTTTTTTTTAATTCAAGACTTGGGTATGGCAAAACATGTGGGGTAAGAAACCATATTATTTGCTGTTACCTCTTTGCAGGAAAGGTCTCTTCTTTCGAGGTCTGTCTACCTAGAGAGACATGACTAAATACACCCCTGTACAGTTTCCCATATATTCATGCTTTTATCTGGTGGTCCTCCTCAGAGCTGATATTCCTTTGGGCACTTTTCTACCTCACACCCATCTTTTCACCTTGACAAATTCTCTTATCACAGGATGACGTACGAATGAATCGGCACATCTCACCCAGATCCGCTGTGACAGCCACTGAAATTGCCGAGCTTCCTCTCTCCGAGCCTGGGCTCCTTTACCCACGGCAGGAGGCTCGCAAATTGCAATTACTGTTTCCTTTCTGCCTTGATGGAGACTGAAGTCTATGATTTTTTATTGTCAGCCTTTAAATAACTGTAGCAATCAATGGATGTTCTGTTAGGAAGTTTTTTTTGTTTGAAGACTACCAGTGAATCATGGAAGCCTCCTGGTATAAGGAATTTTAAAGAGGTGACAATAACCCCAATGTGGAAATATCAGAAGGTTCAAAGCCCTGCTGGTGCTCTTAAAAAGAGAAAGTGCAAGGGGATCTTAAAACCGGTTTGTAAGTCATCTGTCTTTCGGTGACCTCTGTTGTCAGGCAGCTCAGTGGTTACAAAGTATCTGGACACATAACTACTAGTCATTAACGTCTTGATAAATGGCAGATGCCTCCCTGTAATATGTGAACCCATAAAAGTAAGACTGTAGCATGGATAAAGAATCTTCTAAAAGTAAGAATTTGTGGTGGGTTGACCCTGGCTGGATGCCAGGTGCCCACCAAGCCGCTCTATCACTCCCCTCCTCAGCTGGACAGGGGAGAGAAAATATGATGAAAGGTTCATGGGTTGAGATAAGGACAGGGAAAGATCGCTCAGCAATTACCGTCACAGGCAAAACAGACTTAACTTGGGGAAAAAAAAATAAAATTATTACCAATCGAATCAAAGCAGGATAATAAGAAATAAACCCAAATCTTAAAACACCTTCCCCCCACCCCTCCCTTCTTCCTGGGCTCAACTTTACTTCCTATTTTCTTCCCAAGTGGCACCGGGGGACAGGGAATGTGGGTTGCGGTCAGTTCATCACATCATCTGCCGCTCCTTCCTCCTCACACTCTTCCCCTGCTCCAGCGTGGAGTCCCTTCCACAGGAGACAGTCCTCCACAAACTTCTCCAATAAGGATCTTTCCCATGGGCTGCAGTTCTTCACGAACTGCTCCAGCCTGGGTCCCTTCCACGGGGTGCAGTCCTTCAGGAACAGACTGCTCCAGCATGGGTGCCCTGTGGGGTCACAAGTCCTGCCAGCAAACCTGCTCCAGCCTGGGCTCCTCTTTCTCCATGGGTCCACAGGTCCTGCCAGGAGCCTGCTCCAGCGCGGCCTTCCCACAGGGTCACAGCCTCCTTTGGGCATCCCTCTGCTCCGGCGTGGGGTCCTCCACAGGCTGCAGGTGGATATCTGCTCCACCATGGACCTCCATGGGCTGCAGGGGGACAGCCTGCCTCACCATGGTCTTCACCAGGGGTTGCAGGGGAATCTCTGCTCCGGCACCTGGAGCACCTCCTCCCCCTCCTTCTTCACTGACCTTGGTGCCTGCAGGGCTGTTCCTCTCACATATTCTCACTCCTCTCTCCGGCTGCAATTGCTGTTGCACAGCAGTTTTTTCCCCTTCTTAAATATGTTTTCCCAGAGGTGCTGCCACCGTTGCTGATGGGCTCAGCCTTGGCCAGTGGCGGGTCCATCTTGGATCCAGTTGGCATTGGCTCTATTGGACGTAGGGGAAGCTTCTGGCATCTTCTCACAGAAGCCACCCCTGTAGCCCCCGCCACTACCAAAACCTTGCCACGCAAACCCATCACAGAATTTTTCCAGAAATATTAATCTTTAGCGGCCTGGGCTTTGGTGATGAACAGGAACTTTTAATGTTGTTTATCCAGCAGAGACATTCATTTGTTTCCCCAGTGTCATTACTTGCTGTGCTATTCTCAACGTACCGCTGTACCTCGGTCCATCCACAGCCCCAGACTGTTATCTGCAAGTCTCATTACACACCAGAAGGACAATACCCGCAGGAAACCGAGACCATCTTCATACAGGACTATATCATTCTGACTCTTAACTGTAATTCAATCCTACACTCCGACTCTTAAACCTACATCTCACTTTAATGTGTAAATTATCTACTGCTTTAAAGCAGCACTACTAGATAATGTGCTCTATTATTATTTTTTAATGCAGATCTAAGAGGACATAATGCAAAGGATCTTTTCATGTACGAAGCCCAAAGGGTGATGTTTTTATTTTCTTTCCAGCTATCCCTTTTTTTTCATTTGTTACAGGTTAAATTCCTTTTTGACATATCCTGGCAGAAATAAACCAAAAAGGACAAAGGAAATTCCATATTGGATAAATGGAAAGAACAAAGAAGAAAACATAAAAAAGAGAAATGAATACACTTACTAAACTAACCAAACAGCCATCTGAAACGGCTGATTAATAACTGTCCTCACACAGCCTATACTGCAGACACTTTCTAACAAGTACAGTAAGAGCAAGACATGTTTATTGAATATTGAAAAATATAAAATGGATATAAAACATGATTAGTAGGAAGGACAACTGTTAGAGTTGGTTTCAGATAAACTAAATATGCAGGATTTATGAGTTCCCTTCAAGAGACTAATGGATGTTTAGATGACTAGAGAGAGGAAAAAAAATTGGATTTTGGTATTTCTTTAGCAGCTCCAAGCTTATCACTTGGAGTATATAATTCTTCTTAGCCTGTTCTGCTAAATGAAGAATAAGTCATCCCGTTCAGTTACAAAACTCAAAGGTTAAACAACTAAACCACACAGCTTCTAAAATGCATCACACTCTCCTGGCAGATGGAATAATTAAAGAGAAACTGAGTATGGTATCAACAATAAATATATGGTAGCCAGAGAAGTGAGGGAATAAATTAAAAATACACAGTATGTGCAAATGAAAGTAGAATGCTGAAGAGTTCAAATAACCTGCTCCCAGAGGATATTGGTTGGAAGAGGTAATATTTTACAGAAAGCAGAGGACTAGATGGTCTTCCACAATTTTAAAATGTGCTTAATATTCTGAAGACATAGGTCACAGTAGCTTGTACCATTTAATGTTTCGATTAACTCTCATTTATAAGCAAGTAGCATCTGATCACACTCAAAGCCCAATAAGGGCTTTTTGAGATTGCCAGCAGCCTTAATCCAAGGTGACTATTTCACCATCATGTCTAGAGAGGTAACCCATTTCGGCTTCAAAGCCCTGAGACAGAAGAGCTCTGTACCTTCAGCTCTCTCAAACACTGTCGGGATGGTTTGATCGTGAAATTAGGCCCTCTCAAATGAGAGATCCCTGTAAATACGCATGTGATCTATTCTGCTCTATGTAATTGTTAACCTCAGAAACACCCAGACTGGAGATTAGAGAGTATATTTGTTATGAAGATCAGGTCAGCTATTAAATAAAGGCCGACTTGGTGGATTTGTTAAAGTTACAATGAATACTGTCAATGAGGGCAAATCAAAGAGAAAACTGCTTGTATCAGAAAGCTATCTCCAGAGGTGTTATGAATTCATTTTATTTCCTATTCTTCTCTGACCCAGCTGACATTGTTATTGAATATACATGTACTTGTTTGTCTTTTCATCCATAGCTAATGCAAAACACCACTTTAGGGAAGGAGTGGGATTAAGTAGGATTTTTTATTTCATTATTAGAGCAATGCCATTTACTGTAACAGTTGAAGTTGTGTCAGCACATTTATTATAATCTACAATTTTCAGAGGTTTATAATTTGGAATCAGAAATTATTGCAAAGCAGAAACGTCGGGACAAAGCAACACATTTATCTATGGTGTAAGTAGGGGCAATCTCATTGACTGACTACAATACCCACCTCCTCCAGGGATGAATCGGCTCCCAAAGCAGATTGTTCCTACATTACAAATTTAACTACACAAATGGCTGAATGAGGGCTTTATTAGGATGAGTTTTGTAAAAGTTGCACTAGAAATAGCAGCAACAAAATATTATTTTTCGGAGCCTTCAACTTGTACTGGGTCTCAGAAGATGATAAGATGGACCAAAATCAAAATGAGCTATTTTTATAACAGTTTATTATTATTTTGGCATAGAAAGCTAAATTTTTATCTTCTCTCTTA